GCTAATAGCACTCCATGGACCCAACCTCCATGACTTTATCTAACTTCTCTTTAAACTCTTATAGTTCTAGCCTTCACAGCTTCCTGTGGCAAGGAGTTCCACAGGTTGACTATTTGCTTTGTGAAGAAGAACTTTCTTTTATTAGTTTGAAGCCTGCTACCCATTCATTTCATTTGGTGTCCTCTAGTCCTTCTATTATGGGAACTAATGAAGAACTTTTCTTTATGCACCCTCTCCACACCACTCATGCTTTTACAGACCTCTGTCCTATCCCCCCTCAGTCTCCTCTTTTCTAAGCTGAAAAGTCCCAGTCTCTTTAGCCTCTCTTCATATGGGACCTGTTCCAAACCCCTGATCATTTTAGTTGCCCTCCCCTCTCCCACCCTCTCTCTTCCCCTCTCCCACCTCCTTTTCCCAGTCTCCCCGAGTTTTGTTCAATGAAGAGAGTTTATATTTTTGAACACACGTGTCCTTTATTTTGTACATCAGGAAGGGGGACTAGGGAGGGGTAAGTGGAAGGAGGTGAGGGAGGAATGGGGTACGAGCCCCCGATGAGGAGGACTGGGGTGGCTCTGCAGGTTTCTCGGGGTGGAAGCTCTCCTGCAGCCCCCTGATTGAACCCCCCCCCGGATGGCAGCCTGCGACAAGTGTAGCTGGGCTGATGTCCGAGTGCTGTGATGTGCCGAGTGTGGGCACTCAGGGCACTCCAAGACAGGACTGCTTTGCTGTCCCTCATTGAAGTAGACATGCAAGCGGGGAACCCTGAGAACTGTCTGTCCGGGGTGGGGATCGGGTCCCTTTAAGCACAGCCCTCGGCTAGCCTGAGACAGCAGCTCCACGCTCTAAGACCTAACCTGATGCCCTGCCGGCACTGCTTGGCCAGCCTTAACATCGGTTCAGGGTCCACTCAATGTGGACATGCTAGTTCGAATTAGCAAAATGCTAGTTCGAACTAGTTTTTAGGTCTAGATGCACTAGTTCGAATTAGCTTAGTTCAAATTAACTAATTCGAATTAAGTTAGTTCGAATTAGTGCTGTAGTGTAGACATACCCTGTGAGCATGGCATTAATCTTATGAATAATAGCAAAACTAAATTACAAAGCAGATAGAAAGAAGTTCACCTGGATATGCTAACGAGAATCAAGTTTCACACATCCAGCGATGGAAAAGTAAACCTTGATACTGTGTATGAACACGGGAAGAAGAGGAAGTTACTAACCTTCCTGTAGCTGACGTTCTTTGAGATGAGCGTCTCCGGGGGTGCTCCACATCAAGTGTTGATCGTTCCAGCACCTCTGGACAGAGTTTTGTCTAGCAGTGTATTAAGGGACCACACATGTGCGGCGTGCCAAACATGTGGGCTTTCCCCTATAGCTATGCGCAGGCACGCCCGCCCCTCCCTTCAGTTCCTTCTCTATCCAGAACCCGGTGAAGGAGTGTAATTTATGTGTTTGTGTGTGTGTGTGTATGGGGGGGGGGGGGGGGGGGAAGGGTTGCTCATTGAAAAATAAGCTATTAGAAACAAATATAGCAATATGGTATTTTAGGACTAGAATTTAGTGATCTACATGGCACTCAGCATAATATAGAACAGCCTTACTATCATGCAGCTAATCAAATGGGTACAGTACAGCAGTTCCTCCCAGAGCACAAACCGCACATAGTGGAATGCTACAGGCAGCCCTGGGCCACCTAGTCCTTACAGCTATAGAGTAAGGGCAAAGCCAATCAACATTAGTGGCTAGATTCACAAAATAGTGAAGAACATCAGTTTCAGGAAAGTGAGTCATTTCCTCTTCCTCTTCAAGAGACCTCCCTGGGGGTGCTCCACGTTAGGGGTATGTCTACACTGCCACCCTAGTTCGAACTAGGGTGGCTAATGTAGGCATTTGAAGTTGCAAATGAAGCCCGGGATTGAAATATCCCGGGCTTCATTTGCATCTTGCTGGGCGCTGCCATTTTTAAATCCCCCTTAGTGCGGACTCCGTGCCTGCAGCTACACATGGCATGGAGTAGGTAGTTCGAGTTAGGCTCTCTAATTCGAACTACCGGTACACCCCGGATCCCCTGCTCTCCCTCTGGCTTTGTGCCGCCCTTGCACCCTGCTCCCCCCGATCTCTGCTCCCACCCCCCAGCTCTGTGCTGCCCGTTTCCTGCTCTGCCCCTAGACCCCGATCCCTCTGTCCCTCCTGTTCCCCGTGTCCCATTCCCCATGCCTCCACTGCACCCCGCATCCTGCTCCCCCCGATCCGTGTATCCCTTTGTCTCTGTGCCTCCTGTCCCCCGTGCCAACCCTCCTAACCCCCGTGGCAACCCTGTCTTGTCCCCCCCCACTGTTCCCTGCACCCCTCTGGCTCTGTGCTGTCCCTGCACCCTGTTTCCCCTGTGGATTGGGAGTGTGGGGTGCTTGTCCATAGGGAGGGGCTGGGCAGGACAGGGCAGGGAAAAGGCTGTTGTGACCCAGCAGCAAGTGAAAGGGGAAGTTCACTTGAAGTGCCTTTGCCTTTATGGGGAAAAAATGAATGAAAATGCTATTTGTTATTTATAGGGCTAAAATGCTGGGACAAAAATGAAACAAAACAAATAAAAAAAACATTGCAAAATGCAAACGTGTAAAAGACAACAAAAAGGGGGGGATGTTTTGCTTGGCTCTGGGGGAGGGGAAGTGGCTGGGCTGTGGGGAGGAGAGGGGAGGGGAGTGGAGGGGAAAAATATGGGGTAGGGGTTTGTGCTGAGGGGAGAGGAGGAGGTCAGGAGAAGGAGAAGAAGAAGAAGAAGGGGGAAGGCACCAAGGGACAGGGGTGCAGGACAGACAAATCCCAGGGGGCCAAGTACAGACAAAGAGGAAAAGGACTGGAGGGGAGGTGTCAGTAGGAGGGGGAGAC